AACCGATATCCTCAGATCTCAGCCTCCTGAGTAGTTAGGATTACAGGCGTGAGCCACTGGCGCCCAGATTGTATTCTTTTTTTTTTTTTTTTTTTTGTGGTGGCTGTTGCCAACAGCAACCATAAAATGTTATTCACAAGCTTAGTGCACTGAACAAATAAAGGAATGTACTGTTACAAATGGCAGATTTTAAAATCTGAAAACTTACATGCTAGCTGGCTGCTGGAGGCTCATGGCTATAATCCTGACTACTCATAAAGCTGAGATCTGAGGATCATGGTTTGAAGGCAGCCTGGGCAGAAAAGGACTCGTGAAGCTCTTACCTCCAATTAACAACTCAGAAAAACAGAAGTAGCTCTGTGGATCAAGTGGTAGAGCATAAAGAGAGTCAGGAACAGTGCCTAGGCCCTGAGTTCAAGCCCCACAACCAACAAAACAACAATGACAACAAAAAGCTTATGTAATATTATCAGTGTTTTTGTCTGTTTTCCATGTTAGAAAAAAATGTGAATTTACATTCTTTGTATTTGCATATGATGTTTTTTTATTTGGCTCAGCCTGAGAGTTGACTGTTTTCCTCCCCCAGGGTCGAGAATGCTTGCACCAAGCTTGTTCAGGCAGCACAGATGCTTCAGTCAGACCCTTACTCAGTGCCTGCTCGAGATTATCTCATCGATGGGTCAAGGGGCATCCTCTCTGGCACATCAGACCTGCTTCTTACCTTTGATGAGGCTGAGGTAGGCAACCTGAGTCCCATGCAGACATCTCCCATACCAAAAAAAAAAGCACTTTTTAAAGATATTGGAACATTGAATGATTATTTAGGATGACAAAAGTATTAAAGAGCTAAGCATGGTCATATTTGCAAGTGTTGTGCATTCATTTGAACCCTGAATTCTTATTTTTAGGTTCGGAAAATCATTCGTGTTTGCAAAGGCATCTTGGAATATCTTACAGTGGCAGAGGTAGTGGAGACTATGGAAGATTTGGTCACTTATACAAAGAATCTTGGGCCAGGTTTGTCATATCCAGCTTTTATAACACAATTTGCAATGAATTGTCACTGTGGGATCTCTAGATTGTGCAAAAGATAGATGATACTTTTGGGTGTCTCTATCAATGGAACTGACCCTGGGTTTCTGCTGAGATGTCATTCTCTCTGCAATCTGAATTTGCTTTGTACAAATCCTGGCCCTGGCAAATGAATTACACCAGACATTGAAAATACTGCTGGAGAATGTAGAAAATACTTTTCGATTACTGTAATGCTGAAGGCCACCCTCAATCCTGACCTCTCTCTTCCACATTACACAGCATTCCTTCAGTGTCTGCCAGCTGGCTCTTTATGACTTCTTAGCTTGCTAATTAGCCTGCCTACTATTATGGATTTATGCCTAGCCCAAGGCTGAATAATATAATCAGACCTGGAAGGATAGATAGCTGTTGTGGTTAAATTTCATTTGGAGATAATTATTTAGGCATCTGAATATTGAATATTCCAGCTTCTGATCTTATAGAGTTATAATATGACCTTGAGTGTCCTTAAAGCAAACTAGACCAACAGAATAAATATACTAGGCATTTAACTTGAGGTTTATCATGAAGTATTTTTTTTATGTGAAATTTTGACTTTTACATAACAGTATTTTTTTTTCTAATTATCTTAGTATATACGGGTGGGAGGAGGGGTTGATTTCATTTTTACCTTCCACATGTTTACAATATATTCCACTCAATCTCATCCCCTCTGTCACTCTCCTTGCCTTAACAATACATTCGTGAGGGTTCAGTGTAGTTGATTATAAAGTCAATAAACCTTATCACTAGAATGCTTTCTTTGGTGTCTGCAGTGGTATACTTTTTGTATATGTTTGTTGGGGATTGAACCCAGGCATTCTGCATGTTAGTCAAGTGTAATACTACTGAGCTACACCCCCAGCTGTGATCCAAACACTTCAAAATTTCTCATAGCACTGGAAAAAAATTAATTTCCCAAGTGGAATTTTGTTGGCATAATTCCAACACATAAAAATAAAATGAAGCTACTCTTTGTGAAGAAGCAGCCCCACCTCAAACCAAGCCTTTAGTCTTAATGTTCTGTGGGAAAAAAACTAAGAAATTCTAGGAACAATTTGAAAAATCAGAACTTTAGAAAGTCATGTAGGACCTTTGAGTAATTACCAAAGTAAACAAAAACTGCTAGCAGATTGATTCCAACATACCAGATGCTTGCATATACTACCATTACTGTAATTATTTTTTTTAAAATAATACTTCTACTTGTTTCTAATTTTAAATGCAGTTTAGCTAATTTTGGGCCAAATTTGGACCGCAGAGAAAAAAATAAAGATGTAAATAAAGCACATCACTGCCATTCTTAGAACTGTTTTCAGTGTTGGCATTCAGTACTGAGCTCACATGAGAGTCTGCAGAGCAGGCAGAAGTGCTGCATGAAACCTGTATGCATAGTAGCCTGGCAAAGTATTTTCCCCCACTTGTGAATTAATTTTTTTCCAAATATATATTAAAGTTGGTTTTAAAAAGTATTTATCAGTGTATATATATATATATATATATACACACATACATATACACACATGTCAGCTGTGAAAGCTACTTAATGGGGTTTTTAATGAATTACTTTTGAAAAGAATAAAATTGTATATAATGGTTTTGTGAGAACATTTGTTGTTTAAATACATGGACAGTCAGTTTGGCCTTTTTCCTACTAATTCATCCTCATCCTGTGTATCCTTGGTCCAGGAATGACTAAGATGGCCAAGATGATTGATGAGAGACAGCAGGAGCTGACTCACCAGGAGCATCGAGTGATGTTGGTGAACTCGATGAATACTGTGAAAGAGTTGCTTCCAGTTCTCATTTCAGGTATTTCCTCTTCCTATTGATGGGGAAAGGTAGTATGTTTTAAACTCGGAGGTTCATTTTCTTTTGCTGCTTTGACTAGCGCTCTACCACTTTGAGCCACAGTTCTGTTTCCGGTTTTCTGGTGGTTAATTGGAGATAAGACTCTCATGGACTTTCTGGATTGACTTTGAGTCATGATCCTCAGATCTCTGCCTCCTGAGTCATTAGGACTACAGTGCCGGGCTAGATGTGTTATTTTTACCTGGGGGGAAGATGACATCTGTTGACTGAATGTTAAATGTTGGCTGTTGGCTAAGAGACCAGGATTCATCTTCTCTAATGCTGTCCTTCTCCCTCTGCTCATTTAACTAGCAAAAGGGATTTGTACTTGTGAAGTGTCAGTATGTGCCAGCACCCATGTGAATTTCTTTTTGGTGCCAGTACTGGGACTTGAACTCAGGTCCTTGGTGCTATCCCTTAGCTTTTTTCACTCAAGGCTGGATGGTGCTCTACCTCTTGAGCCATAGCTCCATTTCTGGCTTTATTTTTTGCCAGTTCTGGGGCTTGAATTCAGGGCTCTGTTCTGAGTGTCTCTGTGATCAAGGCCACTTCTGGCTTTTTCTGAATAGTTTACTGGAGATAAGAGTCTCACAGACTTTCCTTAGTTTGGCTTTAAACCATGATCTTTAGATCTCCACCTTCTGAGTAGCTAGGATTATAGGCATGAGTCACCTGGTACCCAGCTCATTTCTAGCCTTTTGCTGGTTAATTGGAGATAAGAGTCTCATGGATTTTGCTGCTCATGCTAGCTTTGAACCACAATCCTCAGATTTCATCTAGGATCATAGGTGAGAACCCCCAGTGCCTGGCCCATGTCAATATTGTTATACAGCAAAATAAAAATCCAAACTTAGTTTCCAATTTTCTGGTTGTTTTTTTATAGCTATGAAGATTTTTGTAACAACTAAAAACTCAAAAAACCAAGGAATAGAAGAAGCTTTGAAAAATCGCAATTTTACTGTAGAAAAGATGAGTGCTGAAATTAATGAGATCATTCGTGTCTTACAACTCACTTCTTGGGATGAAGATGCCTGGGCCAGCAAGGTTAGTGTTACCATGGATGAGGAATACGAAAAGAATGCCAAGTTTTCTCCTCCTGGGGATTTTGATTATCCCCTGTCTCACATTTTTATCTTGTAATTGTAGCATAAGGTACTCCAATTGTGAAAGTACTTTTTTCTTTTGTTTCCTGGGTTACTTGCTAGCTTTGTGAATTTTCTTTTTTCCAAGGAAAACAGTAGGCATAGTTGAATATTGATAGGAGACTGAGGTACTCTGCATCCTTTTCTTCCTGTTAGATTCTCATTGGCGGGGCTATTGGAGGATGTCTAGTGTGCATACTGACTCCTCTGGGTGGGATTTTTGCTTTCTATGTGGGTAGTTGATTCTAGGTCACCAAGATACTAAACAAGCCCAGAGAAATAATAGAGGAAACAGCATTTCTAGATGTGTTTTTGATTATTCTATTTCCCTGAAGAAATGTTTATTTAAAATATTAGTCTTCACATTTTCGAGTTAGTTTTGGAGATCCCTTTACTCTTTGTAGAAATTTTTCTTGGCTCTGAAGGAGTTTGGTGGATTTCTTGTAGCACCTTGTATGTTGCTTTTGTCTGCTTCTCCCCGTGTAGTGGCTGTGAACACTGTGGATATGAATCAGCTCTCCAGAACCAGGGCTGTTTTGGTTTATACTTTTCTTATAGAGTAAATAGTTAGGGGAAACACACTGTCTCCAAAATCTAGCTTTTCTATGTATGGAGACAACCCAAGTTTGGCTTCAGGGCCACCTAGCAGAGACTGTTAGCCCACTAAAAAAAAGGAGGTTTTGTTAGTGGCTCCATTTGGGTGATCGATCAGTGGAATTGTATTTGTATCCTCCAGGACCCACCTATAAGGTAAGGTCAGGTTGGGGCCTAAAATGACCAGTCCTCTCTCGTCACTCAGTAAGCTATAACTGTTCATAATAAATTATTTTACTTTAACTATGGCTTTGTTTACATTGATGTGGAGTTCAATGGATTTTTAAGGTTATATTTAAAATCTATATGCTATTATCATTTTAAGTCTTTAATACTTACTTTTGCATATTTGACAATTTTCACTTCCCTGTTATGACTTCTTTATGCATCTTTTGTTTTTGTTGTTGTTGTTCTCTTGTTTGTTTTATTCTTTTTCTCCCACTTAGAAGGTAAGCCTCCTCTTGCCCTCTAATTTCTTTTTTGCTTTAAGAGACAAACGCATGTCTGTGGGGTTTTCTTGTGCTGTGTGCCATGCCTTATTCTGTTTGCCGGTGTAACACTGTGCTCCAATATGTGTCAGAATGTGATTTAATATGGGACTTCAGGCTATGGTGGGATGACTCTTTGACTCTGGCTCATACTGAGCTATTTCTTTGCTTCTTTAAAAAAAAAAAATCTTTTTTTTTTTTTGGGGGGGGGTTCCGGTCCTGTGGCCTGAACTCTGGGCCTGGGAGCTGTCCCTCAGCTCTTCAGCTCAAGGCCAGCACTCTACCACTTGAGCCACAACGCCACTTCCGGCTTTTTTTGCTTATGTGGTGCTGAGGAATCGAACTCAGGGCCTCTGGCATGCAAGGCAAGTGTTCTACCGCTGGGCCACCTTCCCAGCGCCTAAAAAAAATCTTTTTGTGCAGGTTCTTGACTTTTTTTTTTTGGCCTGGTCATTGCTCCAGCTTCATTTGAGGGGCAAGTTTCCTTAGGAAGGTAGGTGGCCTGTAAATTGCCTGTAGACCCTGGTCTTTGGTCTTTGGTAAGGAGACTGCCAGGTGATACCATTCCTGAATATACCGCTCCTGCCAGTCTTTGCAGGCTCTGAAATGTTTTTGGATATGTGGCTTGGAGGGTTTTTTTTTGGTTGGTTGTAGGCCTTGAACATTGGGCCTGGGAGCTATCTCTTAGCTCTTCAGCTCAAAGTAAGTGCTCTATCACTTGAGCCACAGCACCACTTCCCGTTTTCTGAGTGGTTCATTGGAGATAAGAGTCTTGCGGACTTTCCTGCCCAAGTTGGCTTTGAACCTCCTGAGTAGCTAGGATTACAGGCATAAGCCACCGACGCCCAGCTGGCTTGGAGGTTTTAAGCAACAACAAAAATGGACAGTCTCAAAAAAAAAAAAAAGAAAGAAAAGAAAATGGACAGTCTCAAGAGCTTTTTCATTGCATAATAATCCTAGCAGTCAAAACCAAAAGGACAAGAGGGGTTGCTGGTGGTTTTCTAACTTAAGTCCATAGCTTACTGCATGTCTGCTGCCTAAGCTGCAAATCACCTGTCATTTTTCTATGATCTCCTGTTTTCCTAATTTCAGTCTTTCCTTTGCTTCTAGCAAATGACAGGTAGTAAGGAAGAAGCATTTAACTTTAATGTGTCTCTAGTTTTGGAGGAGGAAAAGTTACCCATCATCTAGTGAATAACTGTGACTGTGTTATTAAGCTTTCTTTCATTCATGTGCCATCAAGAGCTGCTTCTTTACAAAACGAAACAAGACAAAACAAAAAGTCAGTTGGGATTTTTCCATGGATAAGGATTAGGTACTTGGTAGTCTAGATGAGGAACTGGCCAAGTTCTTACCAGGTTTATTTACAATTTACGTGGAAACTTCCCCAGGTTTGTTTATTTATTCATTTATCTTATTTTTTTAGGCAGGCGCTTTATTGCTTGAACCATACCCCCAGCCCTTTTTGCTTTAATTATTATCTGGAAAAAGTCTTTAGTTTTTGCCTGTGGCTGGCCTGTGATTTTGTTCATCTTATCTCCAGCCTCTCAACATAGTTGGGATTGCAATTGCATGTCATCATGCCCAGTTTGTTGGTTGAGTTCTTGCTAACTTTTTGGCTCAGGACGGCCTCAAACCCATGATCTCTAACTTCCTGATCTCCAACTCCAGAGTAGCTGGGATTGCAGGTGTGCACCACTACACCTGGCAGTAACTTTCCCAGGTATATGCTTATCTGAGAAGAAGCTAGTTTGTTAGGATGTGGCAAAACTAACTTTATCAGGAACAAATGTGAATGCAGTTAGCTCAGCCAAAAGAAATTCAAATACACAATGACTTAGAGTGAACCAGATGTTTATTTTTAACCTGTTTGCTTTTTGGTTATATAGAAAGATAACATGACATTTCATTCCCAGTCCTGTTCCTATCTACTCTACCTTTAATTACACATCAAATATTTATTAGTCATACGAATATTTACAATGGGAAGCTTTTTTCTTAAAGGTGGCATTTTGTCTGTTTTTCAGTTCAATAGGATGAACTGGAAGGCATCTTTTATTGTTCCACTGTGGGCAATGATAGAACCAGTCAGACCCTGCATCCTTGTCCCGTCCTGTTTCATGCATACAGTGATTTTCACTTCTCATCCCTACCAATAAGCCAATTAACTTTGTCTTACCGTACTTGTTTCATGCGTCCCCACTGGTGCAGTATTCTTCTGGAAAGTGATGGTTCCTCTAAAAAAGTGGGGGAAGAAAGTAAGTGAAACAAATTCTTGGTAAAAGTATACCTAAAGAGACAATTCAGTAGGTGTTTGTCTTACCTCTCATACCTACATTCATACACACATTTGCAAATTTAAAAGTAACTTTGACCTTAAACACTTTCTTTTGAAAATAAATTTCATCCTCTTCTTTCAGTGATCATTAAAAATCACGTTAGCAGTTTTTCAAAGAATATACTATGAATCCAAAGAATTTTGAGTTAAACACAATTCTAATCCTAGTCTGTAAATTCCACGCTCAGTTCTTAATCTTGTTTTTTCTTAAATTTAGGAACTTATATCTTGATGCATGATAGGAATTAAGAGGGAGTATAGGAACAATTCTAAGCACATTTTTACAGAAGTGGCTTTTGCAGTTTGATTCATTAGATGCCAGTCAGTTGTGGTGAGTTCCCTCCCACTATGGCTCTAGCCTGGGGATGAGTAAACGCAGTGACTGACTCAGAGCTCCTACTGGAAGATCACTTTACTTTACCAAAGAAGGAAATACTGGTTGGAACAAGCAATCCTGTAATACTAGTCCTTACTGCCAACCTTTGGGATTTAATAGTTCAATTTTATTTATTTAAAATAATAAGGTTGGTTGTGGCCTTCTTCTGAGTGTTCTAGTATTATGTTTTTGCAACCAATTTGGACTGAGAGATTTATCTCTAATGAGTTCAGTTAGGATAGGTCACCCAATCATTTCTGGTGCTTTATTCCCACTCCTCAAATGCATAAGAGAAAGTCAGCAAATGTTAAGGGGGTTGGATGTTTCTCATTTAATTTATCTTCAGCAACTGTATCTCTTTAAATGCTCACAACAGGTATAGAATTTTAGAAGGTATTATTAGAGATGATGAACTGAAGCCCAGAGAAAGTGACTTACTTGATGTCTGACATCTAGGCTGCTTTCTCTTGTCCAACCTGTTCTTCTCAGAAATATCTTTGTTCAAAACACTGGAGTGACTGGGTGCTGGTGGCTGATGCTAGTAATCCTAGCAACAAAGGAGGCTGAGATCTGAGGATCGCAGTTCAAAGTCAGCTCCAACAGGAAAGTCCAGGAGATTCATATCTTCACCAGAAAATTGGAAGTGGAGCTCTGACGTAAGGTGATAGAGTGCTAACCTTGAGCACACAGAGCTTGGAAACAGCTCCCAGACCCCGAGTTTAAGCCCCACAACTGACAACAAACAAAAAAACCCCACTGGAATGGTAGTGGTAGAAATGTGGTCAGAAATGAAATGAAGTGGGATGGAAGGTGTCAGTAGAAGAAAGAAAAGCAATTGGATAGTGAAGAGTTCTTATTCTTTATTTACAGTTTTCAGTTTAAGACTACTAGAATTGCAAGGCTTTTCTAACTATAGTTCCTCTTGACTGTCTATAGGAGGAGCTCAGTATTCACAGGGGTTCGGAAGCCCTCACAGATATGTTGAATTTTAGGAAAATGTTAGTTCCTGGAAATAATGTAAACATTTTTTTCCCTATTTCTTTTAAATACTGGGGTTTTGAACTCAGGGCCTTCTGTTTGTTAGGTAAGAGCTCTGCCACTGTAGCTATTTTCCTACCTAGCTCTGTTAGCCTTTACATAAATTTGAGATTTAGTGAGGTCATTGACGGGGGTGGGGAGGTGTAGGGTGGGGGTGGGGGTGGGTGGCAAATGGCTACAAGAGAACCTAACTATACGTTATTCCTAGTCAGGTTCCTAAGAGCCTTTATTGCTTGACTAGACAGTAAAATATTTTTGAACTTGCATTTTTGAAATCTAGCAAGTTACCTATTGGTTTTATTTTTTAGGTTTAAAAGTGTGTTAAGGAGAAGATTATTAATAGATTTTAAATTAAATAATTTTACATTGACATAATTGACATTTACATTGACATAATCTTATCAAGGGTAGCATATACTTTGTAAGCATTTGTGAAATAAAAAAATACCTATATCTTGACAACTTCTGTTATACTTTATAACTTGTGTTAACCCTGGAAGGCTGTCCAACTTCCCGAGGGCTAGAGTTTGCCTGTGATATTCTTTTAAGATTTGTATTACTTTTGGAGGTTGGGTTTACTGCATAAATTGGTATAAAACAGAGTGGGAGGAACAGAGGTTTAAATTATGTGAGAAACCATTGAAAATACTACATATCTACTTACACCAGTTACATGTGGCCTTTGAAATAGATCTTAAGATGCTGCCTTTTGATATCTACCATAATTCTATATAAGTTGATAATAAAAGTATTTTAGTTCCATTTCCCCAGTAATGTAGGCCACTTCTTTTTTGTTACTGTGGTTAAAAATTAAGGTTAGGTTTGGAGAAAGAACAGTTCTATCTTGTTGGAGGAGGGAATTCTAAAGTGGAGAGTCCTATCATCTGAATAGGTACTTTGGAAAAGCTGGGCTCAGGACTGTTGACCACAGGCTGTGAATGCTGACAGTGTTTAACTTGTGCTAGCCCTGGCTCTTTGAATTGAACTAGAAATTCTTCTGGTGCCCCCGTGTGGAAAACTGATGGAATAGCACATTAAGAGAACCCTAGTTCTGTAGGATTGGAATTGCGTAGAATCCCTCCCTCCCTATGCTACTGAGTTTTGAAGTCAGGGCATCACACTTGCTAGGCAAAGCATTCTACCTCTTGAGCCATGCCCCCAGTCCTTTTTCTTTTAGTTTGTTTTTCAGGTAGGGTCTTGCATAAATCTTGCCAAGGCTGGCCTGGAACCAGAGTGTCTGGTTTACATACAAGCTTGTTCTATCATGCTAAACTCATTCTCTGCATTTTCCTATATTAAAAAAATTAGAATGTACTTTAAAGGGATTAACTTGTTATCTCCCAGTGTATCATTGGAGGTTTTAAGTTAGCTGTAGCTCGTCATCATGAATCTTGGTTATAAAGCATAAGTCAAGCCCTGAAGGTTAGGTCCTGTCTTACCTTGTTATGTTAGAGATAGGAGCAGGGAAGGACAGAAAATGCTCACTTTTTGCATAACACTTAGTGGTTTATTTGGAGAACTGAAACAAGATTTGTTGCATTACATTTTCATTTTTGTTTCCCAACCAGTAATTTCAGGTTTTTCAGATTAAATATTGAGTGAAATCTCATCCAGTGTGTAATGTGTATTTCCAAATACACAAAGATGTAAAAGAATGGTGTGATCTGTGGCACCACATACTAATGAGGATTTTTGAAAGCTTGGGGGGGGGAGGCCCTGGCAGGGCTGCAGTAGATGGGTGTTGACTAGTGGAAAAGCTGATAATGAGACATGTGACAGCAGGGCTGTTCCCTGCTGAAGACATGAACCATCTTTTTGCTTGAGCAATTGTGCCACTTTTCACAGTTTTAGCAATAGAGACACCAGGAAACAGAATAGAATTAACTGAAGATTTGCATGCAGGGTGCTGCATTTTGGCAGAAATAAAAAATTTGCAGTGTGATGGGATTGTTTTTAAGACTATTGTAGGATTACCTTAGCTATTGTATGTTAGTGCCATAACAACTTCCCTATCTGTTTTGTATCATGGTCTCTCAGTTTTTTCAAATAAAGTAATTGTGGGATTTCTCCTCTAAAGGACACTGAAGCCATGAAGAGAGCACTAGCCTCCATAGACTCTAAACTGAACCAGGCCAAAGGTTGGCTTCGGGACCCCAATGCCAACCCAGGTAACCCTATACCTCTGCTTTCTTTTTGATATGTAAAACCAAAAGCTAAAATTTAAGCCATGGGGGAAGGAAAGAGATCTTTCCATAAGCTCATAATTCTAATTTCTGTAACATTTTGAGCATATACTGTTTTCTAATAGTTCTGGCTAATGAAAGTATTACTGGGTCATAAAAGGATGAAGGGCACTGACCATATTATCTCATCATGGAGGGCTAAATTAAGCTGAGCTGTGCATTCTATGCAAAACCATCACTGAATCAGAAAGTTAATTGTTGTTATTATTTTTTGTGTGCCAGTCCTGGGGCTTGAACGCAGGGCCTGAGTGGTGTCCCTGAACTTTGTTTTAGCTCAAGGCTAATGCTTTATCACTTGAATCATAGCTCCACTTCTGGCTTTTTTCTCTTTTTTTAGTGGTTAATTGCCCTGTTTGGCTTCAAACTACAATTCTCAAAGCTCAATCTCCTGAGTAGCTAGGATTACAGGTGTGAACCACCAGCATTTGGCTAGAAAGTTAATTTTTTTTTTTTGGCAGGGGGGGGGGGGGGGGGTCAGTTGTGGGGCTTGAACTCTGGCCCTGAGTGCTGTCCCTGAGCTTTTCAGCTCAAGGTGCGTGCTCTACTGCTTGAGCTATAGCGCCACTTTGGTTTTGTAGTGGTTTATTGGAGATAAGACTCTCACGACTTTCTGGGCTGGCTTAGAATAGTGATCCTCAGATCTCAGCCTCCTGAGTAGCTAGGATTACAGGCATAAGCAACTGGTACCCGGCTGTAAGTTAAATATTTTGAATAAAGCTTCTTCTCTTCTAGTTCCCATCAAACAGACTTCCATTTATGTCAGTACTTAATTAAGTAGATTAAACAGTGATGCCAATAAGAATTAGAAAGCAAAGCTAACTATATAAAGACCGAAATAGTTATTGAACTTGGCTTTATAGATTGTCTAATATAATATCTATTCCATTTTAGATTAATATTTGAATGGAGTTTGGAGGTGCTAAGCACTATTAAGTTGTTAGAGCCAGATTTTTATCATCCATATTTTATCACCAGCTTCTTGGTATCTCCAAGAGGATATGGCTCCAAGTATCTTTTCTAGCAGTATCTGTGGTTAAAACCTCACCCATAGTTGTAAGGGTACTGTTTGGATGTTAGCAGCTATCAGATGGATTGCCTTCTATTCATTTGTCACTTAAAGTCATCTATTCCCTCATGAATGAAATGACTGTAAGGTTTCCTTACTAAATAATTGATGTGTCTCCAATGTAGATATTGAATATCTCCCTATTTTAGGGGATGCTGGTGAGCAAGCCATCAGGCAGATCTTAGATGAAGCTGGCAAAGTTGGCGAACTTTGTGCAGGCAAGGAACGCAGGGAGATCCTGGGAACCTGCAAGATGCTGGGGCAGATGACTGATCAAGTGGCTGACCTCCGAGCCAGGTAAATGCCTCCACTCTTAATAGACCACTAGTGAGTCACTTGTTCTTCTAATAGGGTGATTCAGAAAGTAAGTCCATGGTAATTTTATTGAGTCATCTTTGACTAATATATAACATAGGCATGGTATTAATTCTTCTAGATTGAGTAGATTTTTCTCTTTTCTAAACTTAAAATATGCTGCAGCTGCCTAATAATTAAGTTAGAACTGTATTTGAAATAGAAATTTATTTTTTTAAGGCAGATTGATAAGAGGGGGTGAGATTGATTAGAATATATTGTAAACGCGGAAATGTACAACTATACAACTCTTAGCAATGAAAAAAAGGCATTTGTTTTTTTAAATTCTAGCCATAGGCTTATAAAAAGTAAGAGGCAATGTTGAAACCTGGGTTGGTTATATATCTTTTATGACGGAAGGTAGAAAGAAACATAAAGAGCACACTAGAATATTTCATACATCCCTTTTAAAATCAATTAAAAGATGGTCCTCTAAGTCATTTCTGGGCTCTCTTGTGTTTCTGTTTAATTATTACTTACTTGGTTTCCTAATTCTTTCACCTTATTTTTGCACTTTTTTAAGCCTTGGCTTAAATAACTTAATATACTTAAATATACTTAATTTGCTATTGAGAAAACTCAGATACAGAGTTACTTGGAATTCATCCACGGATTGACTAAATTCTATAAGATTTTTATTTTTATGGAATTTTATGATAAAGACATTGAAGAAAATTGAAGTGTGTCCAGATGCTAATGTAGATAGAGTTTAATTTTCTTTGAGGTCATTGGGATACACAGGATTTCCATACAAATAAGACCCAGAAGCCCCTCAACATGATGTATACCACTATACCTGGTCTCAAGTATTCACACTTAAGAACACAGATCCAGCTGGGCACTGGTGGCTCACATCTGTAATCCTGTAAACCAAGATCTGGAGGATCTTGGTTTAAGTCAATTCACGGAGAAAAAGTCTCCATATCTAATTAACCAGCAAAGGGCTGGGATGTAGCTCAGTGGCAAAGCACTTGCCTAGCAAGTGCAATGTCCTGGGTTCAATCCCCAGTACCAAAAAAGAAAAGACAAAAAAAATACAGTTAAAAAAAAAAAAACCCAAACTAATTAACCAGCAAAATGTTGGCTGGAAGTGTGCCTCAAGTGATAGAGTGCCAGTGGTAAATAAGAAAGACAAGTGATGCCCGGTGCCAGTGGCTCATGCCTGTAAGCCTAGCTACTCAGGAGGCTGAGATCTGAGGATCATGGTTCAGAGGCAGCCCAGGTAGGAAAGTCTGTGAAACTCTTATCTCCAATAAACCACTAGGAAACTGGAAGTGGCGCTGTGGCTCAAGTGGTAGAGCACTCGCCTTGAGCTGAAGAGCACAGGGACAGTGTCCAAGCCCAGAGTTCAAGCCCCATAACTGGCCAAAAAAAGTCTAGAAAGAGTGACAGGTCCTAAGTTCAAGCCCTGTTATGGTTCTGTCTTGTGGGGTTAGGGAACCTACAGGTCTCTTTTGGACCAATGTAATAAACAAGCCCATACAGTATTCCGTGAAATTTCTTGAGTTTGTGGTTGCACTGTAGCCCTGGAAGTCCATCCAGGTTGGGTCTCTTATCTTGAAGGTGAGGAGGAATAGTTTAAATGAATGTAGTCCTTCCTCCTGAGCTTAGCAAGCTTTCTCTTGCTGAGAAGGCATCTCCCGTGTCATGGATATCACAAAAACTTTGCAGAACGGACAAAAAGAAGTTTTGTTCTTATTCAGAGCAATGCCAGTGCAGCCTGTCAGGGTTCTTGGCTCTTTGAATTTCTCATTTCTGGCTCTTTTGTTTGTAGCCTTTTCACAGTGTGGTAGACACTTTCACTTGTAATTCTCAAACACACAGTCGTATGTGTTTAGAGGGAGTGAATATGAGCAAGAGAATGAAGCAGTTGTTGTGAGGGATCAACCATTAATTTGTAGAGAGAAAGAGCTCGAACAGTGATGAGTAGCTGTGGGCCTACTTCACAGTGTAGTCTACAAAACCCTTTCATGATGAAGACTGTGAGGCTGTCTTCCTGTTGTCCTTTCTTAAAGATAGCCAATCATTTATTGTTACAATGGCTGAAACACAGTAACAATTTCTCCATTGATATTCTACTCCTGAACATTTCTCTGTCTACAAAAGTATGTTTTTTTTAGTCATCGTGGGACTCGGAAAAATTTCTTACTTTGATTGTAGCTGATATATTTATTTCTACTTTTTCAATGAGATTCACATTCCTTATTATGAATTACTAGATGTGAAGGGGGAACAAAACAAATTAAATTATAAACATTATGTTTCCTAAAAGTATTATGCCCTTCTTCTAGGTAAAGAATAGCAATAGAGCCAGGCCCTAGTGGCTCATCCCTGTAATCCTAGCTACCCAGGAAGCTGAGATCTGAGGATCATGGTTCAAAGCCAGTCAGGAAAGTCTGTGTGACTCTTACATCCAATTAACCACTAGAAAACAGGAAGTGGTGCTATACTTGAAGTGATAGAGCACTAGCCTTGAGCTGAAGAGCTCAGGGACAGTGAGCAGGCTCAGAGTTCTAGCCCCACAAGTGACCAAAAAATAGCAATAGACTTAGGAGTTTATTATCTCAAATGTTGGTCTAGATGAAAAACAGATGAATTTAAGAAAGAAGATAGATAGATGAAGTGATTCATATTATTTTAGAGTTAAAGTTAGAAGCTCAGATTAAGATGAGCCAGGCCATTCTACCAAGTGGTAAATTTGCCATTTCTGTGATTGAACTTACCAGGCTGCAGGCTGCATGGGTTTAAAAAAAAAAAAAGATCTGAGCTTGTAAAAAGAAGTGGCAAATCTTTCTTTATGACTTGTAAAATCTGTTAAGGAAAACAAATTCCTTTTTTTTTGGTCTGGTTGTGGGGCCTGAACTCTGGGCCTGGGCGCTGTCCCTCAGCTCTTCATTTCAAGGCTAGCACTCTACCATTTGAGCCACAGTGCCACTTCTGGCTTTTTTCTTTTTTGCTTATGTGGTGCTGAGGAATCGAACTCAGGGCCTCAGGCATGCAAGGCAAGCGCTCTACCACTGAGCCACCTTCCCAGCCCCAGGAAAACAAATTCCTACTAAACATTTTTTCTTTTTGTAAGTAGCCTACCATCTCTGAGAGAGGAAGATAGTAAAATTGGTTCTTTATGAGCTTGATGGAAAGTCCTAACTGGTACTAGTCCCTCAGTACCAATTTGCTGTTTATTGATTGCCTAGAAATGGAAGGTAACTATTTAAGATCGTCCTTTTGTTCACTGTAATAATGATGTTAATTTAGTTATAATAATAGATAACAATAGTTATAATACTTTTTTATTCCTTTAGTGGTGGTGGGGATTGAACCTAGGGCCTCATGAATGCTAGGGAAGCAGCCTACCATATTGCAAGCCCTCAAGTATATTATTTCCCCCATCCAGTACTGGGGTTTGAACTGAGGGCCTTGCATTTGTGAAACAAGTACTCTACCACTTAAGACATAGCTTTATCCCTTTTTCAGATAAGTAGTACTTTTGGACTAGGATGGCCTCAAACTGTAATCCTTCTACCTATACCTTCTACATAGCTGGGATTACAGATGTGCGCAACTATACCCAATGAGATAGACATAGAGATAGGATCTTGCTAACATTTTTCCTGGTCTGGCCTTGAACTATGATCTTCCTGATCTCTGCCTCCTGAGTAGCTGAGATTGTATTGATGAGCCACCATGTTCTACTCTAAATTACTTATTTTACTCATGGCTGGCATGCTACCATGCCTCCAGTCCTACATGTTACTTTTATAAGAAACAGCTGAAGCCCAAATGGGTTAAACATCATAAAGTCCCACAGATACTAAAAGTCAGGATCTAATTGGTTTCAGTGTGGTAGAATTTCAGTAACACTGTGCTGTCTCCTCAAACATTTTCAGTGTACCCTTGCCCATAAATAAGACAAGTTAATGGGCTACTTATTTCTAAAGCACACATTACTATGGCAACAAAGCCTCCCATAGCAATAATACCCCCAGCACATTTTCCCACTGAAGTTTAGATTTGGTTATGTAATCATCACCAAGAGGAGAATAATTACTATCAAAATTTGCTGTCCTGGTTTCAAAGTGGTTATGTAGTCCCATAAAGCTAAAGTGTATTCCTAAAAGCAAAAGAGAAAGTAGATGGTTTTGGTGTTTTGCTTTCTTTAGTTCTGTTTTCTTGTGCTATCCAAAACTACTGGGGAGAAGGAAAAAGACAAGTGTGTTCACAAACATGACATGTACTGTGATGTTAAGAAGATTCTGTTATGAAGTATCTGAGAGGGGACAATGACAGCTTTTGTCTGTTTGAGTAGAGGACAAGGAGCCTCACCTGTGGCCATGCAGAAAGCCCAGCAGGTATCTCAAGGACTGGATGTGCTCACGGCGAAGGTGGAAAATGCAGCTCGCAAGCTGGAAGCCATGACGAACTCAAAGCAGAGTATTGCGAAGAAGATCGATGCTGCTCAGGTAGTGATGGTGATTTTTTTCAAGTGTGGTAGGAAAGAAAAGAAAAAAGAAGTGCTCTATAAATATCCTATAAATATCTCTTTCTCCACTCCTTTTTCTCTCTGTCCCTTGTCATTTACTGTGGGTAGATATTGGGTGTTTCTAAGTGAAGACTGATGGATTGTTTCCTACAAGTTTCCAGTATTAACACCTCCCCTACTTTTACAGGTTTAGACTAATGTTCATTTATATTTTGAAATAAAGGTGTTAATTTTGAATATATCACCTAGCTAAAAGACAGCACTCTGAATACTAGGAGTTCCTGGTAGAGATGACGGTAAATTGAAATGATCCCTTATCTTAGCATTCACAACTCTATTTGGTCATAGCAGTTTTAAAAGGTTAGAACTTTCTTTTTATATTTTAGGTAAGATTATTTGTGAACACTTACACAAATGTTTGAGAAATTTAAAAAGGCTGTGTTTAATTCTAATGGAAATGAACGGGGGATATAGCATTAGTGGTAAAGCAAGTGCTTAGTGTATATGAGGCTCTGGGTTCAAATCTCCAAACAACATAGATATCCAAAAAAGGGAGGGATTAATTAGGTCTTACCTAAAACCTGTTTTACACAGATTCCTGTGTAAAACAATAAGAATTAGTACTCAAGCTACTCAGGAGGCTGAGATCGGAGGATCTCAGTTCAAAGTTGGCCTGGGCAAGAAAGTCTGTGAGACTCTTATATTTAATAAATTACTTAGAAAAAAGCTGGAAGTGGTACTGTGGCTCAAATGGTGGAGTGCTAGCCTTAAGTAAAAGAAGCTTAAGGGACAGTACCCAGGTCCTGAGTTCAAGCCCAGGACCAGAGGAGCACTTTAAGAATAATTATTGGTGTTACATAAATTAACTTATTTCTGATGGCTGTCTAAGTTATATTAAATGTGGTTCATGAATAGTAGTAGCTCACATCATTGTCCATTTTTTGGTATAGAATTGGCTTGCAGATCCAAATGGTGGACCTGAAGGGGAAGAACAGATTCGAGGGGCTTTGGCTGAAGCTCGGAAAATAGCAGAATTGTGTGATGATCCAAAAGAGAGAGATGACATTCTGCGTTCCCTTGGAGAAATAGCTGCTCTGACTTCGAAATTAGCAGATTTAAGAAGACAGTATGTATTTAGTCCCTTTAATAGCTCTCTTTCTCCTATCTCCCTTCCACTCCTTCTCTTCATTGACTCTAGGAAGGTGTAGTTGAATGCATGGTAAATACATGTACCATGTCCCTCTACTACATTCTTATGGCTTCTTTGTGATAAGGTTGGGTCAGATATCACCTCTGTTGTATGAGTGACATGAGACTTAATAATATATGGTTGATCACATAGTTTTAAATTAATGTATTTAGGATGCTATGAACTCCTCTAAGTTATATTTTTATAATTTCTAAAATAGTATTTTCCCTTTTTTATACCCATCAGTGGGTTTAAAGCTTTGTGTACGTGTTTGTATATATATGTATTTATGCATGTGTTTGCTGTTACTGCTGCTTGAACTCAGGGCTTTATATTCTCATTTTGCTTTTTCACTTAAGGCTGGTGGTGCTCTACCACTTGAGCCACAGCTCCACTTCTGGATTTTTTTGTTTTTTTGTTTTTGATTGGTCATGGGTCTTGTACTTTGGGCCTGGGTGCTGTCCTTGGGCTCTTCAACTTAAGGCGAGCGGTCTACCACTTGAGCCACAGTGCCACTTCCGGTTCTCTGGTGGTTAATTGGAGATAAGCGTCTCATGGATTTTCCTGCTGGCTTTGAACTGTGATCCTCAGATCTCAGCCTCTTAAGTAGCTAGGATTGCAGGTGTGAGCACCAGTGCCCTGCCACTTCTGAAATTTTTAATGATTAACTGGAGAGAAGAGTCTGTTAGATTTGTCTGCCTGGGCTGGCTTTGAACTGAGATTCTCAGACTTCAGCCTCCTAAGGAGCTAGCCACCAGGGTATGATTAGGTTTCAATCTCTTTTGACAGAACTGATGCTGACATTTAATTAAAGTTTATTTTCTGGGCAGTACTGGGGTTTCGTCTCAGGGCCTATACTGTGAACCAACCCTCCCTCCCTCCCTCCCTCCCT